TAAGCAATTATTAATCGTTGGAGATATACATTAAATTCCAGTCTATATTCTACGTTTCCAACTGCCCACCTACAGCAATAATAGCTACACCCGTTCCTAGTATACTAGAACACCTTCTTTTAAATTTTTCACCACTAAGTACGACCTATAAATTATAATGAACCTTTTGTTAAATTTTCAGGCATTTCCGTTAAGTGTTACAGTTTTATCCATCGAATACTTACTAAAAATAAATTATGTATAAATCCCTCACAAAATTAAAATATCCATAAATAGCTCAAAAATGACTGAAATGTTTTAAAAATTTTATCACGTCTACATAAGTTTTTTTTATGAATTACAGTGTATACACACTTAGTACTGCACACTAGCGCTCGAAGTTTTCGACGACAAATTTGATAACTTCCAGTTGAGCGGTACATATATACACACACTCCCGTTCGTTTGTTACAGACATGCACGAAGACTTGTGTCCGGGTAACGTAGATTTTACATGGCCCGCACACCTATAATAATTCATACGGTTGATAATTGTTGTTGCATTTTCTACAGTTTCCATTAAAAAATACGCAAGGTAAGAGACAATCCCAATTATTTAATTATTGATTCGCTACGCTCCGAATTGCTTCAAGCAATTATTATTTATAATTTATATTTATTATTATATTTATTATATTTATTATATTTATTATTTATAATTACTTTTGTCTTGTAACATAAACGCATAAAATAAGTATCTCAATTAAAACTAAATATTTTCATTTTCAAGCCACTATATTTGATAAACCAATAAACGATTAAACTTATTTTCGGTATTATTAAGGACATTCTATTGATATTTGATATCCATTATATTATAATTAGGATGCAGATGTTTCAAGGTGTTCGTTCATTATACCTCAATTATTCAATGTTTGGATTCCCAGCGAGTGGGACACAGTTGATCGTTATTACAGTGTTTTCAATTTTGGCGATATTGTTATGTTACGACAAATGGAACCGTCGGCGCTATGAAACATTAACTAACGAATTGAATGGTCCTCCGGATTATCCGATTATAGGGTCATGCTTGGAAAGTTTTGGTGGTAAGGGAAACAAATCATTTTATGTTTAGATTGTATGTAGGTATACTTAATTAATTTATTAATATGTATTTTATAATAACTAGATCACTACGAAAAAATAATGTTCTATGGAGATCTATTCAATTACGGCCTATTTAAATGTTGGTTTGGTAGTTATTTAAGTGTTTTCATTACTAAGCCAGAAGATCTTCAAGTAAATAAGTTGTTAAATAATTACAATATATAATTACATAATAATAACATTTCTATAGAACAGGCCTGGGTTATAGGCCATCCCCTGAATCCCCTTGAATACCCCAGAACTATATGTCAATAAATTTAGTTCCAACCTTCTATATGAATCAAAAGTTCGAATTTCATTATTAATTTAAATTTTAAAATATATGAAAATAATGATATTATATGAGTTACACTTTATGGATAAATAATTTCGGATTGAATATTTTCTTAATATATCAATACACGCGAATATATTTAGTATACGCACTTAATTAATTTTAAAAACTCATTTGTTTCAGATTATTTTAAATAGTTCAAAGGCCTTAAACAAAGGCTATGTGTATAAGATGGCTACTAAACTTATAGGCGAAGGTTTAGTTACAGCCCCAGGTTCGTGAAAATTAATTATAAATTTACCATAAAAAATAATTAATTTAATTTATCGTATTACTTTCGACTATCCTAATAAATTATTTGTTAGTAGAATAGTTAGTAGTCATAAGATCCACCACCGAAATCTTCGCATTACTTAAATGTCTTTATTAATATTATTATAGTAGATAAATGGAAAATACATCGACGTTTGATGAATCCTTTATTTAAATATGATATTATAAAGGAAAAGTTTTTCCCAATTTTTCAAGAGAAATCAAAAGTACTAGTTCAGAAAATACAAAAGGGAGTAGATAATACACAACCGATTGATATCTTGGATTGTATATCAAGTGTAACTCTCAGCACAGTTTGTCGTAAGTATTTAAACACCTTATTATGATATATGATATATGTAAAAGTGGTATACTTTGTACCAAACTATTAAACTTTCAGTGAATATAATATTTTTATTTTCGTTTATAGAAACAACGATGGATTACAATCTTGACACTCACACAGATATGGGTTTCAAAATGGGTGTAATAAAGTAAAACATTTAAATAATGAATTACTTAAACACAAATAATTCAATTAGGTTATGGACTAATATAATAATTTTTCTACAGAGGCGTTGAATTGGTTATTAATAGAGTACCAAAAGTTTGGTTATATCCTGATGTAATATATAATCTTTATATCAAATTGTTTGGCTATGAAAATATATATAAAATTGTGCGAAACCTACCTAGGCATGTATGTGTATGCGAGATATAACATTGGATTTACGTTTTAATATGAATTTTAATTGTTCAGATAATCGCGAAAAAGAAAAATGATTATGTAAATAAATTTTCAAAGAAAAACACGACAGATACAGATGTTAACGATGGCAAAAGTAAGTGATTGTTATAATAAACTACGACCAGAGAATTTTTAATTAACCAAAGTGTAGGTGGGTATCATGTTATTAGATTGTTCAAATAGATGTGCTTTTCGCAGTGTATTTGATATATTCATCAGAAATGATGGATATGAATTTAATAATTACATAAGTTACTACTACTACTAGTTGGTTTTACCTCTTGTATTGTTTAGGCGAATGTTTTAAAGGATTGGTGGAAACTTTATTGGACTCAAACAAACCTGAAGAGAGGTTTACCGATGAGGATATTATGGGTCATGTCATTACTATGGTAGGCGCTGTAAGTTCAAAATACTTAATATAATATTCAATCGCAGGTGGCAAATAATTATTATATTTATAGGGTTTCGAAACCACTTCATTGACTGCTAGTTTTTGCTTTTTGATGTTAGCTATCTATCCAGATATTCAAGTAAGTCACCACTTAAAAAAGTTCGATATTAAAAGAAGTCTTAAACATGATATTTTTAGGATAAAGTTTACGATGAAATTTGTAGTGCATTAGGTGACAGTGATGAACCTATTACTATGGAACAAACGAATAAGCTAGTTTATTTGAAACAAGTTATCTACGAAACCCTCCGTTTATTCCCGACTGCACCAATTATATCGAGACAACTTCATGATGATGTCACGATTCGTACGGACATAATATATACTAGAATGTATAGAATAAATTTATAAAACAAATATTTTTTTTGTTTCAGGTAATCACAAACTGCTAAAAGGAACAATGTGCGTTATTTCTCCTTTGATTACGCATCATAATCCTGAGTTATACTCGAATCCCAATTCATTTAATCCGGACAATTTTAACGCCGAAAACGTCGCCAAACGTCATAAATATAGTTTCATTGCATTTAGTGGTGGTCCAAGAGGCTGTATTGGTATAAGAACATATTAAACATATAATTTTCAAATTTTTTTAACATTTGTATTCAATTACAGGAAAGAAATATGGTTTGGTTTTTTTGACAGTTATAATCACTGAAGTTTTACGGAGTTTCAGTGTGCACACGGATATGAAATTCAGTGATATTAAGTTAAAATTAGGTATAACATTACATAACACCGTTGGTTTTCCTATAACCACTAAATCGAGAAAGAATCGTCATAATGTGTGTAATAATGCTGAAATGCTTAACTATTAAAAATAGTAAAAATAAAATAAAACCTATTTGTTTGACTATAGACATATGGTTTTTTTTTTTTTTTTATGCCGGTTGTATAAGATAGAAAATTGAAAATTAATTATATTTAATCTTTAAAATTTATTCTTGTTAAATTTCAAAAGTTCTTTGAAATTAGACCAAAGTGTTTTTATAACCGTTGTTATTGTATTTACATAATTACCCTAATAATTTAAGCCGGATTTAATTGACATTGGAACTTTTTATGGCAATAAATATAAATCAGATCTGATTAAATGTATAGTCGATACGTACTAAAAATATTCAGTCTAGTTAATTTTATAATGCAATTTTTTGCAAATTTCCCACGTTTCTAAATCTTAGGCGTTCAT